GCGTCATGAGTCAATTAACAGGTCGCCAGCGGTGTTAACGAACGAACAAAGGCAACCGACCGAGAAATAGTAATAAGAATATGGTATATATATATATGTCTTTCTGTGTATTAGTGCCTACAAAAAGTGGATTGAGCCAGCCAGCCAGCCAACCAAAGAAGTGTCCGTCCACACATCTCACCTCATCCACACGGAAGGCAAGGCACACACCGCACGGTGGCCGTGGTTGGTTGATAAATAAAAAGAGAGGCGGGCTGTGCCGGGCCCGGCCCGCCTGTGTGTGTATGTATGTATGTATGTGTGTACGCAATGGCTGTAGTCAGTCAGTCGTCGGCAAAAAAGTGATATGATAGATAGGCAGCACGGCACAGGACGGCAGCCGGACACAGCACACAAGACATGACATGACATCACATGACAAGACTGCACAATTGAAATACGGACCAGCCACCACACGACAGACAGACAGACACAGTAGACAAAAAGCAACCACCGAACACCCCCACACACACACACGACCACCTCCCCCTCCGCCTCCCCCTCCACTCTCTCCTGACTGACTGACTGGCTGACTGACTGACGTACTTGCAAACTTGTTGTGCCGACCACCCCCTGGCCGGCCTCATACTAGACTCCGCCCCGCCCCGCCCCCATTACAAAGCCACACTAGCCCCCCCCACACACACGGCACGCACTCATCGACACCCTCACAGGGACAGCACGCAATCAACGAACGAGAAGAAATGTAAAACTTGGCCCGGCTCATCCTGGCTCCCTCACCGATCATCGATACGCATGGAGAGCCACACATCACAGTCACACCCACAGGGTAGATAGATAAACGGCTGGCTCCTCTCTCGCGCCCTCTCTCACTGCTCGCCCGCTCGCTGGCTCATCTATCGTGTTTAAATAAGTCTGTCTCTTCTCTTCTCTTTTCGTTTCTTCATGTCGTGGGTGGGTGTGAGTGACGCGCCTGCGATTAGCTAACTACGATCCGATCCACACTTATGTCCTGTCCTCCGGGTATCCCATCCCCCAGCCCCTCCCCATCCACACACGCAGGCGACCTTACAGAACTAGACACGTGTAGTCTACAGAAAAACAGCGGACGGGACGGGACGGGAGGCTGCACACAGTGAATGAATGACCTCACCACAGACAGACACACATGAATGCAGCTACAGATACATCCTACAGACACAAGACAGATAGCACACGACTGCACAAGACGACGACACGGCCAGCATACAGGATAGAGTGGCGGACACACAGTAAGGAGTACCTAGCATAGCAAGAAGAGCATAGCAGAGTCAGGCAGTAAGTAGTGAGTAGGCCATAGCTGACAGACAGACAGACAGACAGACAGGCGGCAGGAGGGAGCGAGGGAGGGAGAAAATATGCGCACACGCACTGCACTCGGACCACCCACACCCACACATCCACACACGCATCACCAGGCATCAACACGAAGCCAACCGTGCCCATGCCCGCACGCGCACACGATAAACAGACAGACAGATAAATCAAACCAACGGCCAAAGCCATCCATGCATCCATCCGTCCATGTGCACACACGGGGGGTGGGCGGGGCGGTTTCACGCATGCAATCATTGCAGCCCGTCCACACATAGCAAGGGAGAGGAGGGAGCGAGCGAGCGAGTGGAGGGAGGGAGGGAGGGGGAAAAATCGAGAAGTGCACGCATCATGTCATGATGTGCAGCTCCCGGTCACTCACTAGTTGCTCAATCAGTCCGTCGCTCCATAGCTCACTCACGCGCGCACACTCTCAGGCTCCCATCACCCACCCACCCCGCCATACAGACAGACAGACGGCCAGCCAGCCAGTCAGAAAGTAGGCCACAGCAGGACAGGAAGGAAGATACAATACAGCCAGCCAAAAGAGACAGACAAGGGAGAGACAAGGGGAGACAGGCAGAGGCAGAATCAGTCGTGTGTATACGGGTGCATATGTCAGTCAGTCTGTCAATCAGTCAGTCAGTACTAAGTGTCTGTCTGTGTGTGTGGAAGGGCCGGCCCCTGTGTGTCACGTCGCGTCATGCCTCATGCGGTGTGGTCGGCCTGTCTCGTGGCGTTGTGTGCGTGTGCCGCGCCCGTCGTTCCCGTGCCGCCCTTCCTGAAAAGCGACGGGATGTAGGGCTGCAGTGATCGGGGCTGTACAAGAGTGGGCAGCAGCCCTGCTAACCGCTTGCTGCCACTGGTGGTACCAGTGACGGCGCCACAGGACACAGAGACAGCAGCAGCGGATGGCAGTGGCGCGCGAGAAAGACCGTGACCGTCGTCAGCTCCCCCCTTCGCCGCCACGCGCCTCGCCGCCCTCTCCCTCTCCCTGGCCCCCTCCCTCTCCCGCTGCCGCTCATCTGCTGCTGCACTCTCCTTGCTGTGCTGCTCCCACACCGAGTTGAGCGAACACGGCTCCGCAGTGGGCGTGTCGGGGGCACGCATGAGTGCTGCGTCATGAAGTGGTGGCGGGCGGTGGTACGGCGTGCTGTGTGTGCGCGGTAGGGCCTCCCTCTCGCTCGCCGGATGGTGGTGCTGCTGCTTGAAACTTTCGTCGGATTCGAGAGCGGGCGATGCCGTCATGGGCGATGGATGGCACGTGGACGGGGGCGTGCGGCAGCCCCCGCCCACGGATGAAGAGCTGCTCGATGGCGCGTGGGTCTCGGTGTCGTGCTCCTCCTCGATGGGCTCGATTGACGGCTCCAGTCGCAGCGGGTGTGGGTGTGTCAGCGGGTGTGGGCGGTGTGTGGGGGGCGGGGGAGGCGGCATGGCCGGTGGGGGTGGCGGGACGGGGGGAGGGGGCACGGTGGGCGGCAGGGGCGGGGGAGGGGTCTCATTGCTGTACCCGTGGGCTATCAGATTGGGCCTGCACACAAACACACACACACACACACACAGATAGACATGTGTGTGTCTGTGTCGTGTCAGTGTTTGGTTTGGTGGTGGTGCGGGGGGCGTACCTGGCGGATCCCCTCATACGTCGTTTTGATTTGCTGTCTTTGCGCCTGGGGTGGTACAGGTGGCAGAATGGGCAGTTGGCGCCGTTGCGGCACCCCTTGGTCCAATAAAAGACGCAGGGCTGGCAGCAACCCAACTCGTGATACGCACTCCCTGACACGAGCGACACACAGCATATCAATCACACCATAAGTGTGGGCATGCCCTGAAACTCCCCTTGTCAGTCAGGTCACATAGCATAGCATACATACCAGGGTTGACGACTCGCAGCTCGTCATAGTCTGGGCACTCGAACCTGCCGATGTCGTCCTCGAGCTCCTCCAGCCACATGGATGTGACGATGGCGTCCGAGTCGCTGCCGCTGTACCCCCGCAGCCGCATCTCCCGCCGCCTGCTCCTGCCGCCCCACGGCCAGCTGTCGCGATCGTGGCCCCGGGACGACCGTGACCGACGGGTAATGAGGGAGGGGAGGTCGGAGAGGGTGAAGGGGAGAGGGGGGAGGGACGACGCCGTCCAGCTGCGCTCGCTGGACGCTATCTCTGACACAGACACTGACACAGACATTGACACAGGCAGGGGAATGTGCAACGAATGGCGATTGATTGTCGCAGTGGAGGGACGTCCGTACACGTCCGTACGTACCGTCGTCATGTGAATGGTTTGATCTGTGATGATTGTGGTTCTCGTCGTCGCCCACGCCCAATCCCTCAGATGAGGTAGACGCGGCCGTCTCGGCGTCGGCCAGCGATGGCGGCATCGAGCCGCGCCTGCTGCCCCCTCCGCCCTTGCCACGCACCGCCAGTACGGTCATGAGATCCTCGCTCCTCATCCTGTATAGGCCCCTCTGCCGCACGCACTGCTTGCGGGGGAGGGTGCTGGTGCTGGTGAATGGGGGAGGGGAGCTGAGGGGTGCGACGGAGTAGAAGAGGGTGCGTACAATGCGCGGAAAGTGGGAGTCGTCCCGGACGAGGCCGTTGCGCGTGGCGGGGAGGGAGCGGCTGCGCTTCCTGGCGGCATTGGGCTTGGGGTCTCTGAAGTGGATGAAGCCGTGCCGGATGCCGCCCTTGAGCCAGCTGGTCTCGGCGTCGATGACGCGCGCCTCGTCGGCGGTCAGGAAATACATGACAACAGATCTCGGCCTGCTGCTGGTGCCGTCACGCTCCGCAACATGCCATCATCGCCTGAGTGAGTCAAGTCTGGGTCTGCGCCAAACCCTTCAAACTTAACGGTCTGGTGTACGCGATCGCTGTCAAAAAATCGCCGTCTCTTGATCAGATCTTCGTGCAGATGCCCATGCTTGGCCTCAAGGTGCTTCTGTGCCTACGGAGAAACACGCCGCCCCAGCGAATTCCTGTGCGAGCTCAGCATTTTTTCCCCCTCTAAGCTCGCAGTTCGAGGACCGTCTTCTCGAGGCGGTGAACTTGCCCATGACGACTGCCACACGTCGCCTCTGTTGGATGTGTGTCTATTGGTGACGAGAATTCGCGTTTTTGGGTGTTTCGATCCAGAGGGTTTCCTCTCCCTTGTCTCCCTCTTCTACCTCCCCCCCCCCCCTGTCGCCCTCCATCTTGCCTCTGTTGATTCTCTATTGGCGTTTCCCCGCGATATCCTGACAGATCAGCTCGTGTCGTTGTTGTCGCAGCGTTGTCGTGACTTCGTCTCCTAGCAACCATGGCGCTTGCCAGCCAGTGTCCTGACCCTCCCGCCCTGCAGCCGTCATCGAGTAGAGACACCAATGCGGGGTCTTCGTCAGGTGCCCGCGGCTCCGGACACGTCATCCTGTTCTCGGCCTCGGCGCTGCACCACTGGAATCTCGCGACAGAGGAGCTCAACTCTCGGAGCAGCCGCACGACGGCCGCCGGACCCACGAGCAACTTCTCCATGCCGACCAAGAGCACTGTGAGGGCGAGGGAGCACTTCAGCGTGGCTGAGAAGACCATCCACTTCAGGAGGAACCGAAGACAGGACAACACCTGGCGGCCTGGCACGGGTGGCAACGGCAGCGGCAATGGCAATGGCAACCAGCACCCGCCCTCCACCGACCTGCTGCTCTACCCCCGTGTGCACAGCAGCTTCCCGGTGCTGTGCTGGTCGTGCGGCGAGTGTGCGGCCTGCATGGACGACGGCGGGCAGTGGCGGGGGCGACTCAACTGCGAAAACCGCCGACTGTACGCGAATTCGCTGGTGGAGGCGGCCGTGTTTCCGGTGGAGCCGAATGGGCTGGGGAGGGCGCACGTGTACAGAGCTGTGTGCCTCTGTGGACACTCATGTGGTAAGTGAGAGAGAGAGGGAGAGACACACACAGAGACACACACACACACACCGGGGTGGAAAGATGAGATGAGACGAGACGACAATGGTTGGGTGGGTGTTCGGTTGGTTCAGACGACAGTTCGTTCTTCGGTCACCTCGCGAGGCACCACTGCCACCACGACAGACACAACGTCACCCACATGGGTACGCACACACACAGGCCACGCCATCCGTTGTCTGCCTTCATCTCCGCACCGTGTCTGGTGTCTGTGTGTGCAGGTCTGCTGCAGTCTCGCGCAGGCTGCGGGATGGACTGCGAGGGCCAGGCTGGTAGTGCGGCGGATGCCGTGGCGGCGTTGAGTGACAAGGCCCGGTGTTTGCTGATAGAGCCATACCACCCCGCCATCCCATACACCACACACCCCGGTACGTCACCCTACCCTGCACCACAGACAGACAGATGCCAATGGTTGGCTCTCATCTTTCTGCCTTTCCTGCATCAGACCATGACTTGGTGCTGGAGCCTGCCACTTACCAGGAGATCGTCTTCGTGCCCGACAGCACCCTCGCCACCGACCTGCCCCCCCTCCCCCTCCTGCCAGGCCTCTCACAGTCGCCCAAGGCCTCGCACAGTGCCAAGCCTTCCGTCCTGCTCTCACCACGCACGCCAGCCTCCCCTCCCCTGTCCACCGTCAGCGCACCTTCCCGACTCGCACGCACAGGCGTCCGCAACAGGACAGCCACAGCCCCGCAGCCCAGCGGTGTGGCCGACGTGATGGTGCCGAGGCCTCCACTGACGGAGTTTCAGCTGCGGTTGCGCGAGCTGCCGGGGAAGGAGGGCGGCCCAGCCAGTGCCGCTGCTTGTGCTGCCGAGGCGGAGCCTTGCGAGGAGCACATCAGGAAGAGAGCCCGCACGTGCAATGGTGACGGGGAGGCGTCGGTGTCGGAGGACAACGCGGGGGAGGTGACCCCTGGCCCTGCTGAGGTCGACAACATGGTCCTGCTGCCCTGGTACGGAGGGACGGTGGGACACAATGGCACACCTCACAGACAGTACAGTGGGACACGATACACCACTTCTCGCGATACACCCCACAAGCATGACGCCTCTTGCAATCAATCGTGTCTCTCTCGTGTCGTGTGTGTATGGTATGGTCAGGATCCACGCAATGATGGACCTGAACCGCCAGCTGCGTGCCGAGGGTACGGTGTCCCACTCAGCTCCCCTCCCTCCCATGCCCATGGCTTCGCCATCCGCGGATACCGGCACTCCAGCAATGCCCCCGTTCCTGCCGTTGGCTGACCAGGACATGACAGCGCCTTCGATGCAGCTGGACGGGGGCCCGTGTGAGGCGGCTGGGGGGCTGCCGAATGAGAGCGCACCGGTGGACGAGGGGTCGCCATGGGACTTTCTCCTTGGGGGGTCGATGTGATGTGATCTAATCAATCAACGGGGTGGTGTGGTGTGGTGGATGGCAGTGAATGTGTGAAAACAGTGACATGACATGGGATGACATGACATGCGTGACCTGACTGGCTCGGCTCTGCTCTGCGTGTTGGTGGTCCGATTTTTGTCAGTGAGTGAGAGCTCTTTTCATGCGTCCATCCATGCGTCGGTCGCTTCAACCCCCCCCCCCCCCCC